ATTGAATGCATTGAATTTTTTTATATTTCGCGTTTATTTATGCATTGAATTTTCACGCTTTAAAATGCAGAATATTAGTGAAGCAATATTTGATAATTTATTTTGCTAATATGTTTCTTATTTAGCTAATGTTTTGATTTTTTCACCATTTGCAATCTAAATAGCTAATATACTTTTTTAAAAGCCAATAAGAACATTGGTAGAATTCTTCTACATAAGTACAATACTATGTCTTTGATGATAATATATTATGTCTTTGTGCTAGAACATTGTGTTCATTGGCGAGCGAGCGCCGTGAACCACATAGGATTGCGTAGCAATTCTCGGGGGTTGGCGAGCGTTAGCGAGTAGGGGGCGGAGCCTCCTAGTTGTTTTTAAAACATAAATAGTATCTACGATTGTCAATGTTTAAAATGATATCATATACTTAGCATTCGAGTAACAACTTTTTTCAGAAAAATCATTTTTTTTTAAATGTAGAATTAATTTTTTCTTAAAAAAAAAATTTTTTTTTAAGTATTGAGTTTCAGGTGCTCTTTTAATCCTTTAAATGTGAAATTTCTCGTATCTAAATCTAGTTAATTATTTAAAAAAAAAAGATGATAAAGACATGTTAAAATTATACTTACCCTATTACTTGCTAAGAAAGTTATGATTCAACAAATTTATTTTTTCAAAGATGTACATTGAAACAATGTCAACGTCGTTAATCATGTTCGGTGACAGATCAGTTTAAGCAAAAACTTATCAAAGGCTGATCTTATCAAAAACTCAGCAGCCTTAAGTTTTAAAATAATTTCAAGTCATTTCTCGCAATTGCCTAGCAATTTTTTTTCACAACCTGAATAATCAATTTAAAAAGTTTATCGCAACATAAGAAGGTTGTTTGAATTTCGTGAAAAGAATAATAAATTCTATTGAAATTAGTATTATTACAGTTTTAAATGTATTGCATTACATATTTTTTCCCAATAGGCTTGTAACTTGTAAAGATTATTCATACAATAACGGAAAAAAGTTTCGTAAACCCAGCAAAAATATTTATGAAGATATGAATTCCTTTATTAAAAAAAAATAATAAAAGAAAAAAACATTTTTTTGACTAACACTTTTTTATTCTAACTGTAAAAATATTCATTAAAATTAAGCAAAATTTTGGGAGGAATTTAAAAGTGAAAACAAAAATATTATTTTAAAATTTTAAAAAAAATCATTAAATTAACGCAAGATATGAGTGTATTTAAAGTAGTCCTTTCGCACCACGCATGAGCAAAAATTTGTTCCTAATTTTGTAGTCAATTGTATTTGATAACTCGTGTCCAATGTAACTTATGTAAAATGTCCTGCTTGAATATCTTGAAAAAATTTTTAAAAAATTTAGCAGTTCCCTAATTGTATTTGTAAATTCTCAAATAAAAGCTCTGAATGTTAAAGATTTTCGCATTTCATTTCGTATTATCAAAGAAAATTGATTATGGTGAACCTTTCCCTATTACAGTTTGTTCACATGTTGATTTTTCTTATACCATCACATTATGTAGTCTGATTGTTTGTGGGATAGTATTTTTTTAAATTAAATTTTGTTTTATGACACAAAACAAAATTTTTACAAAACCTCTTATCCTTCAGAACTTTCTTTAAAAAAGTACTAAAACTGATAAGAAAATTGTTGGAAACCTTATAAATCTTCAAGATATTCAAATTGAATTTTTTTTCCTTAGTTAACGAATATGATTCACAACAAAAATATAACACAAAAGTTTTGATATGTTTTCTGCGCATGTGCAGTATGAAAGAATTAATCTAAATATTCATATCTTGAGCAATTTTTAAAGAATTTTATTCGAATTTTTAAATGATAATTTTTTTATAAATTTAAAATCGCTAAAATATTTTTTTTTAATTTTGTTGAAAACTGCTATAGTAATAGTAAGAAAACGATGGGCAAAAGAGTTAGTTTTTTATAAAAAATGTCTATATCTTCATAAATATTTACCGTACGTTTACGAAACTTTATTCAGCTATTGCATACAATAACTAAAATAATCTATACAAGATGTTACAAGCTTATTTCTGTGTTTTCTGTCATAAAGTGTTCAAAAATACTCTTTTCCGTTTGTAATTGATTGCTGCATCTTTAAACTAATGAAGGTTTTAAACTTTATTGATAAGTATGAGAAATTGCATCACCTGAACACCTCTGTAGTTAAAAAGTAATTCTTAGAATATTCCTATAAAATTTGAATAATTTGTCAAAAACAAAACGCATCTCTTCTATTATTGTAGGGTAGTGTATGTATATGAAATTATACATAATTTTGGCATTGCCGAAATTGAATTTATGCCCAAGATTCCAACGATGCTGTAGCAATTGTTGATTTATTGTACTCTTGAAAACTGGCATATCGATTGTTTTCTTGAAGTTTGTTATCAAAAATACGAGAAATCTCAAATTGCTGCACATTATTAGACTCTTGGGCATAAATTGAATTTCGACAATGCGAAAATTATTTCCACCCCAGATCATAAGCTCATCTTGATACCCTGAATCTTATTTTATTCACGTGAATGCTGATTCCTGTGTTAACTACATTAGTTCCTCATCACTTCCTTATAGCGTGTGGAAATGCATTTTACCTTGATTTGCCCTTCTTGGCCACTGTACTTTTTTTCTTGTTCTGTTTTTCATCTTTTTTTTGTCTCTAGGCGACTGTAGTTTTTCTAGTTTTGTTTCTCATCTTTATTTTTCCATTGGCAACTTTACGTTTCATACTTCAAATCAGCTTTCTTTCTTCTCATTTACGTCTGGCAAGTCTTGAAAATGGGAGCCTATTTTTGAAGCGCTTGAAACATGTCATGTCATATGTTATTTCCTTTTTATGAATTTTCGAAGCGAATGAAGTTTTTAATCAGATAATATCTTACCGCTTCAGTTTCTTGGGATTATTTATTTAATCAGATTTACTAGTTTCCTTAACAACTTATGAAACTTCCCTTAAACAACGGGATTGATTTTTTTTTTGAAAATAGAGAATTGAAATACTTTGAATAGTTAAGATTAATTTTAAAAGCAAATGAAAGTAATGCGTACCTGAAATTCCATCAGATAAAAATACCTTGTTGATCTATCACTCCATATTAAGTCTACGAGAAAAAGTGAGTTATGTTTTATTTCGGTAAATTTTGACTCTCGACCAATAAGAAAATGGTACCCGTAAGTCGTAACTCTCAAACAAAGTTAGATAGCAGTAACTCTAATTAAAAGTATTAGTGGTAGAAATTCGATTTTATGCAGCCACACACATATGTATCGTAAGCTAAACGCTTTTCGCTTTTTTCTTTTTTTTTTCCTTTGAAATCAAAATTGTTGTAAAATTGTGAAATCATTAATTTGTATTCTTTTTACGATTTTTTTTTTGTTGTTTATAATTGCTGTAATATTATGCATAATTTTTGCATCCAAGAACTGAAAAAACAATTAAGAAGAGAATTTATTAATTGTTGTTTTGGTTAAGAAATTGTCAGAAGGCCGAAAATCAAATTTTTAAAACTTGGCAAAGTTACTCCTATTAAAAATGTTTATGACTCCTCTAAGGACATAAATTTAAATATTTTGTATAACATATAAAATTATGATATACGATCATCATGCGATTGCGAGTTGCGATTCATACGATCATCATACGATTGCGAGTTAGGTTCACATAAGGCTAAATCTAGGAATCACCTTTCGTAATTAATACGAGTCTAAACATGCTGTGGGCATTTATGTTACATAAAAAATTGCATAGCGTAAAGTCGTCAATTTTTCAATGTTTTTTTTTTAAATTTAATGTTTGGATCTCTCTGACAAGTCCCTGGAGGAAACATTTAAAGAAGAATAATTTAATAATAAATTGTTTCATTTAAAGAAATTGTGAAAGGGTCAAAAATTTTTAAAAAATCCATCAAAACTGTTCCTATTTGAAGTATCGACCCTAATTAAAAGGACATACATTAAAAGGTTTTTAGTGTAGCACGGAGAGTTGTTTTACAAATATTTCTTTAAGTAGGTCGCTTACAATTTGTAAGAAATGTTATATGTGATTATTGGAAAGAAATACTGCCAAATTTTTTTTCTCAAATTGCTTTAATGAACTATAAATATTTTATTAACATATAAATTAAGCCTGGTTAACACAAATCCGTAACTAAACATTCTGGGGATAAATTTATTAATGATCAATATGAATTTCTGAAACAGTTATAGGTGTATAAGAGTAATGATGGTAAAGAAAGAATCATGCTTCATTCGTAAGTTCTGGCGAATTCTCCTTTTTCAATACATAAGTTTTTTCTTCCAATGCATGCACGTTTGCAGGCATTAAACATAAATCAGGATCTACTGGACATTTGATCCAAAGTTTAGTCACTGGACTGAGGCATTTTGAATCATGTTCTATAAGGTTCTCATCGGAATCTGAAAAGTAAAAAAATATTACATTCAATTAAGAGCTAAAGAATTTTGTTTCTTTAAAATGATATGAAACTGAAATACCCTCAACCAGAACCCGGGTCAGATACGCTCCTTGATGGTTTGATGCAGTTTGAAAGCTAGTGATTTTTCGCTAAGGTTAAAAATAGCTAGTTACTCTTTTAGGGAAAATGAAAAAAAAAAAACTTTAATTATTTATTCACAAAAAAGTAGTGTGTGGTAATTTTGAGTGTTTACTTGAGAAAAGTAGCGTCGTAAACAAAACCTTTACAGTTATTTTAATGCACAGTCCTAAAAATTAAAAAAAAACTAATCACCCTAAACAACTTTTGTTCTAATGATCGGATTTTCACGAATTAAGTGTCAATCTTAATGGTTCCTGGGGGTGACCTCAAATATGCAAATTAATTAGTGCTAACTATTAATTAAGTCACGAGATCAGACACAAAAATGTACTTTCTCTGAGTAAACATATATTTTTTAACATATTTGGATTCTTAACCTTCAAAATATAGGGGGGGGGAACTAAATAATTTAAAATCAACGGTATTTGAAATAAAATTTAAAAAAACAGGTTGCGAAGAAAAGCAAAATTACTGGAGAAATAATAACAAATCATTTAGGAAGATAAAAAAATCGATTTTACCTACCTAGTAAGCATGATGTCATAAAAGTCATAAAAGATGCACAAAAACATCCAATAATAGGAAACCAGGGAAACGAAATCTTGAATAACACAAATGTATCACTGAAAAATAGGGTTTTTATTATGAGTAAAGATAGTATAGTTTATAAGCGAAAAAAGCTAAGAATTATAAACATATTTACAAACTTTTTAATCCTATAACATTGATTTATTAGTAATTTAATAAATTCCTTTTAGTAACTATTGTCAAGCATGTATTGGTAAAATTGTGGGAATTTACTACAATTAAACTGAGGAGTAAGGAAAATGTGGAATTTTTCTATATAATTTAAGAAACTTTATTTTTAAAAAAAGTTTGTCGAAATTTTTGAAAATATATGTTTTGAACATGAGCAAAATAAGAATTGTTCATATCGTTTTGCCTGGATCAGTTCTTGTTATATTAAGTCTTGCGATATAATATCAATGTTTCATCTAGAATTGCAGTACGAAACTGCAATTCTATATGAAATTAGGTTCTTTGAGAAAATTCCTAATTTCCTACATTTTCTTTCCTAAATTTTTATATATTTATGATATTTCTTTAAAGCACATTAAAATAGAATGCTGTCTAAAATTTAAAAATAAGAAAAAAGTTTAATTCCACCCAATCTAATCTTACTTTATTGAATTTTTCGATGAAGTAAGTTTTAAAAATAATTATAATTAAATTCCTAGTGCACTTTGGCATCCAAATAGAGTCTCGGTGCAGCCATCTAGTGTGGCAGAAACTAGACGTCCAAATTAACATGGTCAACGGTATCTCACCCATTGTGGTGGTCCTGAAAGTGTGGATACCACTTCTATACAACGCACTAGGTCTGCTCATCGGGAAGACTGATTGTGCAGCTCATTAGAAATAAAAATAATAAAAAAGTTTTAAAAAATTATTTATATTTCCTTTATTAAATAAACTGTAAACTAACCTTCAAATACGCATCTTACAGATCTATAAAAGTACTGTCCATAACAATTATAAATTAACTTACTTGAGATCATTAGCATGAGATGTTGATGTGAACTCTGATGTGAAATTGTTTTTTACTTCACAGCAATCTGTCACATTTGGAATCCCTCCGAAAGAGGAGCAGTTGTTAGCTTTCAGCTCTAATGGAGGCTCAATGTAGCCGCTTATTAAGGATCCGAAACCAATAAAACAGGTTATGGGTAAGCTCAGCAATGTTCCAATTAATACACTCTGAAATAAAAATAGAGTATGAGTTATGAGTAAAAATTAAATAATATTAAGATAAAGAGGAATGAATAATTTAACTGATATTTCATATAGTATTTTATTTAAACACTTCGTTAAAAACTATACAAAATTCTTCAACGAAGATACACTAAAGGTTTTCTGTTAAGACGTCAATAAAAAAATTATTTTTATTTGAGCGAGTACTTTTGTAATTATAAAAAAATGCGTAGACTTCAAACATTTTGGAAATAAAAGTTAATGTTCAAGAAAACCAAGGTTTAGCTAATAATCTCAAGTTGCTGTCAAATTTCATTCTAAATAAAGTGAGCCATCATGAAATTGAGGTAAATTTACTATTAAAATTTAACCTTACAGAGAAAGGGCACCAAATAAATCATAAAATCATCCAAAAGAAAAATTAAACTTTTTTGTACAATTTAGGCAATATGTTATTTTCTTTATTTTGAGAAAACTTGAGAGCTTAAATTATTCTTCAAAGAAAAATTATTGCTTTAAAAAATGGGGGGATTGAACCATAAATTGTCATAAAAACAAATGGCTATCGTCCATCTTCTGTTTCTAATTCTGTTTCTAACCAGAAATTGATTCATTCGATAAGCTTCATATTATATTGTATATTTGTTTCCAATTCAAATTTAAGAAATAAAAATGGTGATTATATTTCAAAAACCGTATTCATACTAAACTTTTAAAATTTAGAATAAGAAAAATCAATCAAAAGTCGAACAATTTATTTAGAAAAATAATAAATATTGATGAAAATATTGAAATTATCAAATCAACCTTTTCAGATACTTTTCGAGATAAAACGCCAAACAGAAAAATGGCGAACATCGGTCCTTCTAAAGTGCCGATGAGACTAACACCCAGCTGCTTCAAACTTTGGACATTGAAAAAGCTAAATGTGAGACTAATACACGTTATTCCAAAAAAGAAACCTGTAACCAAACAAATAAGTTCGTTAAAATAAACAATTTGATTACAAACACTACATTTTGGCTTGTTTATCGCTTTTTGGCATTAATATTTGGCTCACGCATAGTTATTCAGCGTTTCTTGCTGCAACAGTTATTACTAACTAAATAATGAAAATAGGCCAAAGAAAATAATTTATTATCATTTATTCAGTTAATTCTTTCTATTATTGAACATTTTCAACTTTAATATTGGGCTTATGCGTAGTTTTCTTGATGCAACAATTAATATTAACAACACAAAAATACACTAAAAACAAATATTTATTAATAATTTTCCAACGAATTCGTTCCATTCTTAAGCGCCAATTCGTTGCAATATTTTTTCTTAATTGCTGCCTTAATTGATTCTGCTTTCTTAATCCACATGCCTGAACACCGTCTACCGAGATGAAACCGCCAAGGAACCACATGCCTATAGATTGTTTAGATGATTGAGATAAAAATACATCCCTATAAATTGTTTATAGATTTTTCATCATACTACGTAGTTTCAACTATTCTTGTTAATTTTTAATGTTTGGCTCCAACCTTTACGCACTTTTGTGAATGAACAATAATGAACAGTTAAAAAAATACAATATGTTAATCCCTAAATTATCACATTCAGAACAACACGTAGCATTTTCTGTGACAGGTTTTCAGAAAGTGCTAGAAATATCCAAAAAAAATTTCGTCAGTAGACAAAATTAATGCACTGGATAAGTGAATAAAGTAGCGACACGCCGCCATCGTGGTAACTGCAACTCTCTTGTAACCTCAACTCTCAATGTGGATATACGGAGTTTCTGTTCTTATACGCCACTTTTTATTAATCATTATTTTCATATTCTTGAAGATAACTTAAATATTTACTAGTTATTCTTTTTTAGCTCTGAAATTATNAAATCTTCCGGCGGGCCACAGTTGGCTCGCGGGCCGTAGTTTCCCCATCCCTGGTTTAGATGATTAGGATATAAATACATCCCTACAACTTGCTTGTAAATTTTTCATCATAATAGTTTCATCTATTCTTATTAATTTTTAATGTTTCGCTTAAAAAAACACTTTCAACCTTTACGCACTTTTGTGAATGAACAGTTAAAAAAATGCAATATATTATTCCCTAAATTATCGCATACAGGACAACACGTAGCATTTTCTGTGAGAGATTTTCAGAAAGTGTTGGAAATATCCAAAATTTGTTTCGTCAGTAGACATAACTAAAGAACTGGATTCATGAATAAAGTAGCGACACGGTGATTTTATTTTAACCGTCGTTGAACAGGCGGCCCAATTTTATGGGGGGTTTGCGACAACTAATGCTTAACTACGTAGCCTTGTAATTTTAAACCTAATCTAGAAAATAAGGGAACTCCTGGATCAAGTATTGGGAGAAATTTGCCTTCGTTGAGGAAAAGAATTCAAAATATAAAAGCAATCAAAGATAATAGTAATACATCCAAATGGAAAAACGCGCTTGGCAGTAATGAAACCAAGAGGAGTTAAACGAACGTGAAAATGAAAAAAATTGGAAAAATATGATAACCAAAGCTGACGTCGTCAGGGGGTACCAGCTTCAGATGTCATAAAAGCAAAACTTTTTCTATCGAGAAAGCAAGACAAAAGTCTAAAAATTGTCTTTTCTGTACCCCAAAAGTTTTGCCATAATCCAGGAAAAGAATTCATAATATACAATAAAACACAGAAGAATACAATATAAAATAGCAGGCCAGGTGGCCGAGCGGTTAGCGTGCCTGACTGCGAAGCCATAGGCTGCGGGTTCGAATCCCGCTCTGGGCATGGATGTTTCTCTCTCTCTTTGTGCTGTCCTCTGTTGTGTGTGTGTATAATGTGTGTGAATGTGGCCCACCCTTTAAACGGGTTGTTTAAACGGGTTAAACAGTGTGGCGTGGGCAATGTTGCTCGCCTCCGTGACTTTGGTTCACAGGTGCCCACTGGGTAACGCGAAATAAGCAACAATTCTGGCATAGTATAGGCAAAGATTCAAATTCGGTGCCTGCCATTGGAAAAAAAAAGAAAAAACAATATAAAATACACTTTAAAATCAGAATAAAAACAAGACAAATACAAAATAAAAGTAAGAACTAAAGTTAACTTGAAAAATAAAAAAAATCCAATAACTAAGAATCCCAAACCGATTGCAAACCACAACTGAAATAAAATAAACATAAAAACAAACGCCCCCTATCCTGCGCAGTTTAAAGAAAAAAGGACAGAGGTTAAGAAAGTAAAGACGTCATTAAAAGAAAAGCTTGAGCAAGTAGACTCGAACAAGATTTGAATTTTGCTAAACCAAATGAGAAACTAATAATTATCAATCATTTTCTTAATTTTAAAATCAATATTACAGAAATTAAAGGGAAAACCATTATCATCTAAATTTTTAAAAAAATTACCAGTTGCCTCTTGAAAACTAAAAACATTATTTCAGATTTTATTAATTCTAAACAATTGAGAAAAAACTAAATTTTGAAAATTTTACTGCACAAATTAGCACTAAAATTACAGAAAAAAAATAACTTTAAAATTAAAAGATTTTCTTCTGTCTTAAACACCAATTTTAATTTGTTTATCAATAATATCAATTTTGAAATCTAAATATTCAACACTTAAGCAAATATCACTGGTTTTCTTCAAAACCAATATTTCTCGATAGAAAAAGTTTTGCATGTATGACATCTGAAGCTGGTACCCAGCTTTGGTTGTCATATTTTTTCAATTTTTTTCATTTTCACCTTCGTTGAGGACTTTTGGATGGAACTAACCCGCATTTGCGGTACAAGGAGAGGAAAACCACGAGAGCTTCCCACGGTTAGCCAGGTGACAAGGGGACTCTAACCCATGATCCATCTACCACTGAGGATATTTCACGTAAGCACTGTCTGTGGGGGGGTGCAAGCCGGATGCGGAATTCGTATCGACTGGGATTCGAACCCGGTTCACCTCATTGGAAGGAGAGTGCTCTATCCCCTGAGCCATCGCGGCTCAAGTTAATTGATTTAAATAGCTTAAAAAGGGATAAGGAATGTTTAAATTTATGAAATAACGGAAATTTGGAAGCTAGGAAATCTATAGGAGTTTTACGTATCGAAGTTAACAGCCAAGTTACAAGCTAATTAATTATTTTTACACATATAAATTATTTAAGAATGGAAATACGTCTGCCTCAATTATGGAAACATTACACCCTACAGTGTTCGGATTTTTTTTTCTCCTTTTTTTAATAATTCTTAAATTCAATGAGTAACAGCCTTTTTCTAAAAGGCGGACAAAAGTAATCCCAGTTGACAGTAAATTTCTAAAAACCCAAGTATAATACTTACTAAATAATTTGGCTAACTGTACATTTCTTTTTTCGCTTAACTTTAAGAGAGGCTGAATAAAATCAACCACGGTCACAGTTGACAGTGAGTTCAGAGCTGAAGAAATCGTACTTAGAGAACCGCTAAAAATCCCTGCTATACAAAGTCCAGTGAGTCCAGGGTAAATGCTCAATCGATTGACTATATAAAAGGGCACAATCTAAAAACAAATAAACGTTAGAAAATAAAGAGCTGATTATAACTATTATCACTCTACTTTAAAAATGTTAAATTGTTATTTATAGTTTATTGTTAAAATATATAATAAATACAAGCAACTAGTCAAAATTTTTATGCTACTATCTATATCTACTATTTATATGCTAAATCTATGAATTTTTTGCTATTATCTGGTGTTTAATGTGCATTGTGCTTAGAAAACTGCCATAGATTTTAATACAAAATATAGGTAAGTTTAATAATGTGAAATAGAAGTGTTTCATTTGTATTAAATAAATTTGTAATTAAAAGGTGATTGAGAGAAGCACGTAAATCTAGTTTTAATATATTTATCCTAATTTTCTTCTTGTTAAATTCTAAATCTCACAAAACAGACAATTCAAAGTAATTTAAGAGATATGAAGTCGTACTATGAGAAACCTATTACATTTAAAGTTACACTATCACAGATATTACTCTACTAATAAAGAGACTAACAGAAATTACTCTAATATTAATGTGGGCTCGGATAAAAATTCAGGGATACTGACCTCTAAAATAGAGCTCAAACTCATCTCTAGAGGTAAGTAACAACTTATTCCATTATCAATTTCAAACTGATTATCAGTTAGCCCCAGATAACTATCAATAGCAATTAAAGCCTTAATTAACAGAAAAATATTTTTAAAAAATTATAAAATTTAACCTCCATTATTTATTTTTAGTATGTTAGAGCTAGGTTTCATTGACTTTTTATTAGCATAAAATTATTATTTTAGATGGTAGTACAGTTAAAACGAGCACATTATTACTGTATCTCTATATAACATAAAATCATAATAGTCTGATACCGTTTTCCATTGTTGTCGGCGCATTTTTATTGGCCAGAAAATCACGTGGTAGGATCCAGTTTTCCCCCATTCATTTCCATATTGTTTAGGTTGTCATCAGCATAAAATTAACGAAAGCCCTAAAGGTAACAAGCGACTAGGGGAAGGACGATTCCATAATGTTAAAAACTTAGAGTTTCGTCGGAAGAGTAAAAATAGGGAAAGAGGGTAATTACACTGAGAATATTGGGGACTTTTTTGTTCGCTTCCTTGGCGTATTGGCTAAATTTCAAAGGTTTACCGTCACCGTTCGCATTTGTTTTTATGTTTATTTTTTGCGACGTTTGCTGTCATTTTCGAACTCGTATAAAATATGTTATTTGTTGAATTTTTTCGTTATGTCTTTGTTTTTATTATTGTTATCTGTTTTGCTTTTGTTTTTAATTTCTTTTTTACTTTAAAGTTAGTTAGATCTTAATATATGTATGTTGCCGGCATTGTATAGAATACTGGATGTTTTTAGGCAAAGTAGGAAATGTGAGAATTATACCGGGCAATGGTACTTGACCTTAAAAAACATCAGTGTAGGGTATACCGGGAAATGGCACTGAACCTTAAAAAAACATCAGTGTAGGGTATACCGGGCAAATATATACCGGGCAGTGGCACTTGACCTTAAAAAAAAATCAGTGTAGCGTATACCGTGCAAATATATACCGGGCAATGGCACTTGACCTTAAAAAAACATCAGCGTAGGGTATACCGGGCAAATACATACCGAGAAATGGCACTGAACCTAAAAAAACATAAGTGTAGGGTATACCGGGCAGTGGCACTTGACCTTAAAAAAACATCAGTGTAACGTAAACCGGGCAAATATATACCGGGCAATGGCACTTGACCTTAAAAAACATCAGTGTAGCGTATACCGGGAACTGATGTTTTTTAAGTTCAAGTGCCACTGCCTGGTTTATACACTAAATTCTTTTCATGATTTCCCCCCCCCTCACGCTCCTCCAACATGTACAGAATTGCTGGAGCAGCGACCGATAATTGTCAACAGTACTGAGGTACGTACCTCTCTGCATCAAAAACGTTCTTTGAAGATAAAGAAAAATCGAAACTGACTGTCTTCTCTGTAAAGCCTAATAATAAATTCTTTCCTTTTTGATGACCCTAGTTAAGTTTTTTTTTTCTTCCAGAAAATCCCGCCGAAATTTGACTTCCAATGTTGGTGCTAAAATAAGGCGATATTTTGCTAAGCTAAAACTCTCACCAGCAACGTTTTCCCGATATCGAGCTCATTTTCCCCTTTCTAAATTTTCTAAGTCCGTTTGTATTATGGAATCGTCCTGTCCCTAATCGCTTGTCTAAAGGTATTGTTTTCCGTTAAATATTTTTGTATCCCTAATTTAAAGTTCTTTTTCAGAACTGCTATTAATAGTGAAAATTTTAAAATATGGTTGTGAACTCATCAAATTTGTTTGAACAATTTAATGTATTAAGAATTCATTTATTTAAAGAAATTGATAATTAAAAAAATCACTTCTGTTCACCAAGAGATCTAAATGTTTATAATACTAATAGATAGTAATATTTGGAAGTGGGAAGAAGAGGCACAAGAGCGAAAGTTAACAGAATTCCTTTCAGTACATAGATGTTAAGTGAATATTTTTAACTTTAGTAGAAAAACTGTTTTCTGGCAAGAAAAAACAATTATTGCGAGGCAATCACCGGGGTTGGTGAGCGGTAGCGAACAGGGGGCTGTGCCTCCTAGTATTTTATAAAAAAATAATGTGTCGAATATGTGTTCATTCTGATTACTTTCAATGAGATTGCATAAATGTCATAAAGTCGCAGTTTAAAACTATCTTTCAACTCTCACAAATTCATGTTTTAAGTTCAACTGTGTAATAAACTAAATGTATTACAAAATAAAACATTTTCAGTAATTTTTTTCCTCGTAGTTCTGTCAGTCAAGTGGGCTATCGGCGCTATCAGAAAAGATTAAAATGAGTTCATGAGAAAATATTTTTGGAATTATATTAGAAGGAAGCATTCCTCTAAATTGCTTTTAAAAAAATATTCCAATAAGAAAAAAATTATTTTAACTGCTTTAATAATGAATCAAAAATCGAGATATTCTATTGTGTTACTCAATACAATTGAAAGAGTTAGTGGTTCGATCAAAATCGGATGAATCCAATGAGTCGGATCAAAATTCATTGAACGAATTTTTTGTGTCTTTGTGCTAGAAAGCAGAACCATTACGTTACCGTAAGATTGTTTATAATCATTATTGCTAGTATAAGAGAGGAAACTAAGATTTCAGAAGTTATCTTTGCTTTGCTCAATACAAATGAAAGAGTTAATGGTTCGATCAAAATCGGATGAATCCAATGGGTCGGATCAAAATTCATTGAACGAATTTTTTGAGTCTTAGTGCTAGGAAGCAGAAACGTTACCGTAAGATTGTTTATAATTATTATTGCTAGTATAAGAGAGGAAATTAAGATTTCAGAAGTTGTCTTTGCTTTGCTCAATATAAATGAAAGAGTTAATGGTTCGATCAAAGTCGGATGAATCCAATGGGTCGGATCAAAATTCATTGAACGAATTTTTTGTGTCTTTGTGCTAGAAAGCAGAAACGTTCCCGTAAGATTGTTTATGATTATTATTGCTATTATAAAAGAGGAAAATAAGATTTAAGAAGTTATGTTTGTTTTTTCAAAATTTTCCTTATCCTCCTCCAATATTCCATTTTAATTTTTTGTTACAATTTTCATTCATTTTGATTATGCACAGTGAATTGTGCGAGTTTAACTAATCTTTTGATTTTGAGAGTAACTAAAAAAATAAGCGCAACAAAAGGAAATCGGACCTTTCTTTTACACAAAATAAATGCAACTTTATGAAATATACTTTAGCAGAGTGACCCATCATATTGAGCAAAAAGACTTGCGTATGCTCTGTAGATATTCGACAAAATTAAATAAATAAAAAAAAATTTCTCAATCATTAGTTGAATCATTAACATTATTTTCAAAAAGTAACGAATAATTTTATTCTAATGAACCAAAATTTGCTAAAAAATTAAACTTAATGTGTTTACAAATAAAAATTGTTTATGTATAATGAAACAAGAATTACAGAGAACATGTTTGCTATTTCAATCATGACGTTTTATTATTTTGATTTTATCAAAACAAAAGATGTAGTTTAAAACATAGAGCCTTACCTGCCTTTTTTACACTGATATTTTACATGATCAATTAAAGCACGATTCTAAATGCGTCCCTCTAGATTAGAAAATCGTAAGGGCCGCTGTTTTGGGTATTCAACTTACATTTTGTTTTGCCGCACAAAAACTATAAGACATAGAAACTTGAAATTACTAAGGTGTATACAGGAATTATAAAGGAATAAAAAAATTAACATTCGTTTATTAGTTCAAAAATTAGTTACATCTGTCAGAAAAAATACTATAGGTGCCGCCAATAGGCCACAGGAATGCAATTACAAAATGGAAATTTGGCGTGATGAAAAAGTCACATTTGCTTTTGATCTTAAGACTTGGGTGGCTTATAGCTCTGTGTGATCAAAAAACGAGTTTATTGCCCATTCTTTAATATTTATTTATATTTTATCCGTTATGTCAGACATACTGATCCTCAGATACTGAGGCAGACTGATAAATGATCAATTAGAATGAGGATCACCGGATTACGTCACCATCATAGTATTTTTAAAGTTATCGGGAACCACGTGTTAATTTTTTGTTATGTAATTGTGCTGGTAAAACGTATTTCTATAAAACTTAATAATTTAAAATCAGTGGAAATTGAATTTGAAATAATTAATTTATGTTCGGAAAAGCGGGATTAACAAAGAAATCAGGAGGCTCCTCTACCCCCTGCTCACTAACGCTCGCCATACTATTATTGATGTCAATGATGCTTAATTAATCTTGAGAATAGGTACTGTTAAAACAAAAAAATTAAGTAATATTAATAAAGAAATCTTAATTGTTTAGGTGGGGAAAAAATCACCGTACTAATTTTGACGTAAATGTTGCTTAATGTTCAGGAGGGGAAAAAATCACCTTACTAATTTTGACGCAAATGTTGCTTAATTAATTTTGATAATAGGTACTGTTAAAACAAAAAAATTAAGTAATATTAATAAAGAAATTTTAATCAAATCACCGTACTAATTTTGACGCAAATGTTGCTTAATTAATTTTGAGAATAGGTTCTGTTAAAACAAAAAAATTAAGTAATATTAATAAAGAAATTTTAATTGTTTAGATGGAAAAAAAATCACCGTACTAATTTTGACGCAAATGTTGCTTAATTAATTTTGAGAATAGGTACTGTTAAAACAAAAAAATTAAGTAACATTAATAAAGAAATCTTAATTGTTTAGGAAGAAAAAAAAGTCACCGTACTAATTTTGATAACTGCGAAGTTGCTTAATTAATTTTGAGAATAGGTACTGTTAAAACAAAAAAAAAGTAACATTAATAAAAAAAATTTTAATTGTTTGGGAGGAAAAAAAATCACAGTACTAATTTTGACGCAAATGTTGCTTAATTAATCTTGATAATAGGTACTAATTAAAATTTATAGGCTATGACCAAAAAATCATTAATGAAAAAATTGAACTAATTCAGTTAGGAGAAACGTAAAAACTGGCCTTGCTATTATTGTTCCCCATAAACTTAATTAATTTTGGTTATAGGCAGTACTTTTAATATGATAATTAGTGCAGTTTTATCATACATATTAATATAGGTACAATTTGCATATCTGGTTCCCTTTAAAACTAATAAATGCTGTGCAGTTTTAATATATTTACTGTAGGAAGATGTTCTTTACGGGCCCTCGAAAGAGATATGTACCAGAAAAATTACTTGATTGTGTTAGTTTTGAAATTCATGAGTTCGACTAGAGCAACACCATTATGCCAAACGATACTGAATACAGTTACTCTCTATTTTGATGGGATAAACTACTGAAATGTGTTCCATTTACCTAATAACGTAAAGCCACCGGCGAGAACAAAAATAGTAATAAGTAAGAAAAGATTATATATTTTAGCTTTATTGATTATGGTGGTATGTGTTTTTCAGTTTAGCACATGATTTCACAGTATTGTTCATTACTAATTTATTGATCGTTTGCTTTTTTTACCCCGTACGAAGAAAGGGTATCCCGCAGTGGACTGATCGTTAAGACACGGTTACCAGCAGATCACCGAAGTCAAGCATCACTGGCTGCGGTCAGTGTGCGCCACTTGGATCAGTCTGCGTAGGGACCGTGGGTGTGCGGTTCTGGTTTAACTGTTCTGCCGTAAAGTGCTTGACTTCGTGTGCAGGTCGTCCGGCTACCGAAGCGGGGGTGTCAGCTCTAGTGCGACGTAAATTAACTACAACAATAATCTAGCGATAATTATTATAAAGAAAGAAAATCATTCTTATTTAAATCAATGGATTTAATATCATCTGTAAAGCACGATTGCATCAATGTCTTATATGATATCGACCATCTCACAATTGGGGTCATACCGAAATAAATGCTTAAATCGAAATTACAAAAAAATAAATCAATAAAAGAGTTACAAATTAATAAATTTGTCAATATTCATAGTGGAGGGCCGGGATAGTCAGGTTGGCAGGATGTTGGACTCGTGTTCGTGAGAACGAAAGTTCGAATCCAGTCAGCCGAAGAATCCCTGTGTATTAAATGGTGACTCATGCGCGTTAAACCCGTCTGGGTCACAAAGTCCTCCAAGTTCCCATAACAAATCAATACCTCTGGGGGTACTGATTTAGGAGTTCCCTTGCCTTCTGGATTGGGCTCAAAATTACAAAGTTACGGAGTTGAACATTAGTAGCAGTAAACTCAAAATTTGGATCAGCGGTTCAACAACGGTTATAAAATTGAAATATTTTTGATACAGTTCCGAAGATTTGAGGTACGGCCAACTCTGCCATCATGCCACCACAAAGTGTATATTATGATATTAATGCGGCATAACACTCATATGAAAATTTGATTTGAAAATTAAAATAAATTAATCAAACACACCCTTCTCAACTAGAGTTTAATTAACGATATTTACAGAACGTTATCATAACAAGGAAAATGCTGTTGTTAGTTTTATCGATCGATTTCACTTTCTCCAAGTATGAATTGCTCTGCTAAAACTTAGGTTGTTCTACGACATATCCCAAAAGTTTGAGTTCTTTAGCTTTTAGAAATGGAATGAATTAGATATTAGATTGCGTTAGAATATTAGATTTCTTACCTGATCATATTTTGACAGCCCCGTTTGATATTTATTTAAGATTGGATCGCACAAGTAATATATAGAGTATAATACAAGTCCAGCTAAGTAACACAAAGTATGGAGAAGGAATACAGGTAAGGTGCTCATTCTTAGAGTTCTGTCAAAACATTTACAATAATTAAAGATTAAATTAACTGCATTAAAATAAAGAAAATGAATAGGGTTGTTTTTTTTTAAATATAAAGAAAGGTTCAATTTTTTTATTTATCTAGAATTAAATTTTAAACAAAAGTTATATATTTCTTGCAAGAAGAAATGATAAAAAGAAAACTAAATTATTCCAATCCACATTTCTGAAACTACTCTTATTATATATTTCAGAATCCTTGTCAAAAATGTCGAAGGAAGAGTATACACTTTGAGTGTTCGAAGTTAAGATTTAAGAAATACATACCGGTAAGTTTCGTTTCTGTCCCCTTTTTCTTCATATTCTTTTTCAATTGATTTTTTTAGTGATATCGACACATTATAAAGAATAATTTTTATCTTAGGATGAGTGTTCTTTATGCAGAGATATCGCATTAAATTAAAGATGTGTCTTGAGAAAGACTTTTGGTTTTTCCCATTAATAGTTTTATGCTTAATATTATTTTATTATTTGTGTGTGTCTATATATATATATATATATATATATATATATATAAAAGCATTAAATAAAAACCCTCAGAATTCATTAAACTACTCTGAGAAAAAAGTATGGTCAAAACTACTAAAATATGGTATAATTTACATAATTTACAGTGTTTCTGACACTATGGTAACACCCATAATTTCGGTAATTTTTACGAATATGAACTTAGGTAATAATTTTTCAAAAATTAACAATAAAATATGGTTTTCTAATATGTGATA